TTTTCTCTCATTCCAAAACTATAGACAGCCATGGCACTCCCCATACACATTATATTTCAGTACTCTCCCTAGTCCTTAGTCCTTAGCTGCATGTTGAATGAATGTTCAACACCAAGACAACTGCAAAGCCAGCAAGCACATCTCTAGGACTAAATCTGTGACTTGGGTCAGAAAACATGTCCTAATTTGAGAAAGGAGAGAATGCCCATAGAAAACTATCGGTACTGCAGGTTGCCCATTTAGCATCATGTAACATCACTGTCATCATCTTGTTGGTGAAGTTCATGGGGAACATGACCCAAACTGTTCCTGCCCTTGGACTTGCTAGGACAGACGAGCTTTTTGTTTTATCAGAATGTCAGTACTAGAAGAATTTTAGGATGCATTTTTCATTTTGTACACTGTTTTAAGGGCAACACTGTACTCAGCAGTTAAGTAATAACTGACAGAAACCCAAATACTGCTACGGCCAAAGGATATCTTGGGTTAACTCCAATCTGATTTATAAATCAGTGTTACTGTCACTTCAGTACATATTGTTCTCTTTTGTTTCAAGACTTAGTGTACCTCAAGAAAAAGAAAATCCTTAATCATAAGGATATTTTTTTTAGATATGAAAACTCATTAAATGATTATTTACTAAATTATAGAATCAAAGTTAGTTTAACAATGAGTAAGAGTACTGAGAGATCCAAACCTAAAAATCCAGGCTTGTGCTATATATTTTCTACTCAATTCTTTTTACCCTATAATTTCTCTTCATGCCCCTGAGTTGTTTTTTGTCTCTCTTCCAAATATGTTTGGGGTGAACTTGGATATTTCCTTTTTTCACCATCGGTTTCTCTATTTGTGAAAACTTTTTCAAGGACTTATTCTTGATTGATAGATTGATAGATTGATTGATTTCCCATCTACTATTTCAGAGCTGTAATCTCATCTCCCATCTTATAGTTACTGCTTTAACAGGGAGATTCAGAAATACAATGAAACGTATCCCAAAAATTATTGGACATCTTAGTAACTGTCAACATTGGTAGATGATCTTGATATCTACATGCTGGTTTTGTGCCTTGTTACTAAGTATATGGGTGGCCTATAGTATAAGCCCTATAAAATTATATTTCTTCCTTTTTTGTTACATCTTCTAATAAAACAGGGTATGTTATCTCCTGCCAAATAACGTAAAAAGAAAGCATGTCTACATTTTCCTGGGGAAAAAAGCCACATTGGGACATTTAGTTAAGAGTTTTACCTAGTTGGCTAATTTCAATTACATTTAAGGTCTTTATGAAGAATGTGAAGGGACATTTCAGATGTCGAACTGTAGCTGAGAAGCTCATTTTAGGAAGGAGATTTAGGAATCAGCATATAGCTATGGGAGCAATTGTGTGTTACATTTTAATATACCCTGAAAAATTATTTTGTAAAATAAAAATTTACCTCATAATTCAGGTTCCATATAGTCAGGATTACAAAGGAGATAGTGTGATATTTCTTGCTATATAAGGTAGATCTGTGCATTGGTCCCTTGTCTCCCACGCTGTGATGGGGTTTGCTGCACTGTGCCTGTGCTGTACACTCTCCTGCACTGGCCTCCTGCAGTATAACCCAGTATGAGACACCAAACATTTGGACACCAAAATAATACAGCTCTAGAAACACCACAGATTACAAAACAGTGTTCTGCAATAAATGGGATTATTTCTGCATTAGCTCATGTTCTCTGTAGCATCCTATGCTTCACATAGGCTGTTTAACTCTGCCACCATTGTCATACATTGTGCTGTGCTCCTGCAAACGTTTATCATCTGCAGTCCTTCCAATAAACTGCAGCAAGCTGCACCACACCTGAGCATGTGAATTTGAATTATAATATCTGCAATCTTCTTGTCAGTAAATACAGTTTTATAAGAAAAAAAAAAATTAATAACGGTTCATGGTTGTTCTGTATGCAGACTTTGAATTTTGGTGTTTATATAGGTAGTACATGGCTAATACAGCCAAATGGAATTACTGTTGTGATTGAAATGCCACATTTTATGTTGTCAGATGTAATAGTGCCAAAGAATTGCAGAGACAAAAGCTGACATGTGGAAGGGGTACCGCTAGCATCCGTATTTCAGAGTTCAGTTAAGGCTTTGTTCCATTTTTGTATTGTGCGTGTATGTAAGACAAGAACATTGATACCATACAGAGCCTTATTTGGAAAGAGTTTATATTGTCTTTAAAGCAATGATCAGGCAGATGCTCAGAATGCAGTACTTAAGGTCCAAGCCAGCTAAATTTCTTCTAGTCAGAGCAGTTCAGTCTGGATAGCCTTATTTCTACATCTGAACAAGGTTATTATTTTGCAAATTTGTTGAAGTGTGATACCTGAATTATCGGGGAAGGCTGTGACAGAAGTTTGGAACTGAGCTAAAATGATCATTGTTACTGCATTTTCCTGCAGCAGTTTTCTAAGTGTAGATGAGCCTACCATTCTCTGTTGTCCCCTAGTTCTTTACTGAACATTTAGCTTGTTATTAAGCTGCCTCGCTCTCTTTTATTGAACTGGATGCACTCTGGCATCAATATGTATTACGTATGAGTGCCTTATGTATGTAAAGTATGTTTAAAAGGCAGAGTTCCTCCAAGATCCTGCCCAGAGGGAATGAATCCAGCTGACTCAATACTTTTAAATCACATCTTTATAGGAGAGGAAATTCATCCTTTGGTTAGGTTGTGGAAGAGAAACATTTTAACTTTAATCATTCCTACAGAATAAGTTAACGCTTTGTATAAGGGTAATGCAGTTTGCAGCGTGACAGCGGGTTTCTGCAAAGGAAAAGCAGCCCTGACAAATAACCCCTTTATATAGGCGATGCAACTTCTTTGTAGCTACAACTTGGTAACTTCTAGACATAAAAATGCCATGTTAGAGTAAAACCTGAGTGAAAACAAATGGGACTTCCTGTGAAGCTGTCAGCTGCACTATGACACCTTTCTTGGTCGCTGAGAATGGCCAGGATTTGTCCTGCTGGCTTGCTTTATTTCTTTGCCCAGGCCTTCTGCTGATGCCTCTTAAGTTACACACTTGCAACTGCAGATAGAGAAATTTGCAACATATCTGTAGTGACCTGCCTTGACTACACAGTGAGTAAAATGCTACTGAACTTCCCACAATTTCAACTGCCCATCAGCTCTAAACACAGGAACTACGGTATTTCCTTCAGGCAATTTATGTCTTGTTGGATAGGCTTGCTTCTACAAACAGCTTGAACTTTCTATGTTATTCTCAATTCTATGAAGTTAAAGTTTTTTTGTTTGTTGGTTGTTTTTTTTTTTTTAAACTGTTGAGTTTTTTAAAGGAAAAAAAAAAAACCACATCTTTCCAAAATAGGGAACATTTTCAGTTCTCTGTTCTGTTTATCTCCTCATCTCTTTGTTTAGGCAGCTGTTAGTCATAGAATACTCGAGGTTGGAAGAGACCTCTGGAGATCATCTTGTTCAACTCCCGTTGGACTAGATTGTAACATTAGGATTGGCTTTCTTCTCGCCCCCTCCTTCTCCCCCAAAAGTGAGCCACAATGGCAAAACTTTTCAGTTCTGGCACAACACTTCCACATCATAGAATCATTAAGGTTGGAAAAGACCTAGAAGATCATCGAGTCCAACCGTCAACCCAACACTACCATACCCACTAAACCATGTCCCTAAGGGCCTCATCTACACGTCTTTTAAATACTTCCAGGGATGGTGACTCCACCACTTCCCTGGGCAGCCTGTTCCAAGGCCTGACCACTCTTTCAGTGAAGAAATTTTTCCTAATGTCCAGCCTAAACCTCCCCTGGTGCAACGTGAGGCCATTTCCTCTCGTCCTAATATATTTGTTAATTTTTGTACTCAAAGGATAGATTACAGCTATACAAAACTACAAAATACCAACTATTAGCACAAAAACAGAGGCACTTTTGTTCCATACTATAACCAATTTCAGACAGGGGTCAGACCCCTCTTCTGTTCAAGGCAGTGGGATCTGCCCCCAACAGAGCTTTACCAAGGGCTACCGTAGTAAAGTCTTTCTGATTTATTTTCCTTTTACCCTAAGCATAGTGAACTGCACATGGCAGCCTTGAGCCTCGCTTCAAGCACATAGAAGGAGAAAACCTGCCTGTTGAGATCCTCACCAGCTTGACAACATGTGAGAAATCGCTGCAGCTAAGGCTCAGGGAGAGGCTGCTGACACATACAGCAAGAGCAGGCTTGGAAGGGGCTCGAAGTAAAGCAAGGGCTGCTACTAAAACTCTCCTCGAGAAGTCATTAGCTGGAGGTACTGGAGTGTTGCATGGATAAATCTCATCACAGGGATAGGGTTAGGCTGAGGTTCTCTTAGGGCTGTGGGGTCCATCTCCACCAGATTCACCGCTGGCAAGTCTTGTCAGCAACTCCATTTGTTAGAAGCCTGCTGATAAGTATTTGGTTATATTTTGGGCTGGAAAAGTCTCATAATTCTCTAGGGGAAGCCCTTCTATGACATTGCCATCACTTTTTCTGCGATGATGCTCTAAATGGTTCTAATCCCATGTACAACATATAAATTCCTGTCCTTAGGTCAATTTCTCAGCATAGACAAGACTGCTGGAGAGGTTAATTATGAACCTTTCTTTCTAATAAAATTAGTGATCAATGTTTGATAGACTAAGTTTAAAACAAAAAAAAAAAAAAAGGAGAGACCATTATGAAGAAAACAAAAAGGATTGTTTTTTGCTGTCACAGGAAAATTTTGATAACTCAGAAAATAACTCTTAGTGGAGAATTCTAGACTTCCTAACTTTTCTTTTCCCCCATTATTTTTCTCGTGACCTGCAAGATATGAAACTGTTGACAGATGACTTTTCAGGAGGAACTGATTCAGAGTAACCGAGGAAGAGGTTTTTATTTTTGAAGGTCTCATATAATCATACAACTTTTACAGCCAGAGAACAACAGAGGGCAACAGATCTCTATGAAACATTACGTCTTCAGAAAGGTTTCCATTTGATGACACTGATGGCAATTTTGGCAGCTCTTTTCACTGCCTCACAGGGATCATTCAGACACTGCTGAAATGTATCTGTATGATCTAGGAGTGTCTTGCGGCCCTCTGGTAGCTCAGCCAGCATGGTGAGGGTTTTGATTGCACTCAGACGGGCTTTGCTGGTTTCCTCAGCAACCAACTTCAGTAAAGGTGGAATGGCTTCAGCACGTAGGGCTGAGAATCTCCCTGTAGAGAAATAAACTTGCTTTAAAATGTGTCATTACATATAAACAACATGCTTTTGAATTGCTACTTTCTACTCTCTGCCCAGCTACAGCTCTGAACGCCCCAGAGGGTGCAGTGAGAAGAGGTAGGAGATGCTTTTGAAGACAAAAGCTAGCTGCCAGCTGTTTATTTTTAAGAAAAAAGATCTTTCTTAGTTAACTTTATCTGCCTTGCACATTATTATTTCATTTGCAACAAATTACCTAAGAATATATGAGGCACCAAATGATAGGATAAACTATTTTAGGGGGGGTTAGATGCCCTTAAGAACATCCTCTATTCTTTTATTTTTAAAGACACTTCAAACACTGAGATCCACTCCTGTATTGTCTTTGGAAGCCAGGGGGACGATTGCAGAGGAGGACTGGAACACAACTGCTGTTATTAAGAGTCTTTTATGTCTAATTACTCATTCATCACACTGAAAATTTAGCAGTTAGTATTTTCAGTGTCATGCAACTTACTTGGGAGAAGGACAGACATTATTAATATTCATTCCTCTCCCAGCTGTGAGAGAGAAACTGCCTCTAAGCACAAAAAGAGTTTCCTGAAAGTAGTACTCCTCTGTTGAGGGCTGGTGATTCTGAGTAGCTTCAGGTATGTGGATCTCTGGGTGGTTTGGGCTTGCATGGAAAATGTTCCCCCTCTGGAGCAGCACTCTGGAGGTAAATGACACAGGTGGGGTAGATAAATAACTTCTTGACCTACTTCAGGTGAATGAAATGTGAAATATACTGTCCCCCCTAGACATGATGGGGGAGCAACAATAGTTGCTCAAGACAGATCTAAAGAAATGTCCTATTCTTATAGTTCCTTGGAGAGCTTTAACACTATCAGAAACTGAGGACTTGGGGAATGGAGGGTGGCAAAAGTTTTGTTACCAAGTTGCCTTAGAATTGGATTTTAGAAAGTATCCCAACAAAACTGCCTCTGTCTCTCACCCTGAGGTTTAACAGTAGCAAACATCAGCGCTCCTGTTGCACTAGCTTGGACTTCAGAATCTGTATCGTCCAACAGGCTCACCAGCACAGGAATAACTTCTTCACATACCATGCTTCTTCCCTCTGGATGAGTACTGTGCAGAAAATATGGTTAAGTTGCTTTCTTGAACTGCCTCTGCTAACCATGCAGCTACCCACAGCTTCTCCCCATGCCTGGACCCCTGCAGCCCTCCTTCGTTTCATGGCAACAGTGCTGACACAGTCGTCCTCTCTGTTCTCTTTGGAGTCACAATGTTCTGACTGTTAGACAGATGGCAAGCACCACTTCCCAGCCACAAAGAAAAGAAAGGGGATATCTGTTTGTGCCTGGTGTCTGTTAAATCTACTTGCTAATACAATACTGATGACATCGTATTAACCTATGGGTTTGGGCTTAACAAATTTTTAGGCTATTTTTAGGTGATATTTGGATTTTTTTTTTTACTTTCTGTGATACAGTGGAGATTAATGGGGCAACAGCATGTAACAGGATGTAGGATTAAATGTGCTGGTGGTCCTAATGGCAATTTAGTTAGAAACCTCGCTGTGGAACCCTATACATATTTTAAAACTTGCTAAATTAGAAGTCTGCAATTAATTCTTCTCCCAGGTCAATTTTCCCTCTGTCTTTCCAGACTTTTTAATGCGGGAAATATTTAACATGGCCCAGCTACTGCAGGGACCTAGAACATAGCTGATGTCCATACTATAGGTGCAGTTCTGCTTTCTTTCTATGACTCATTTTATCTATACTCTCTTTCTTTTCCTATAAGACCTCGCTTTGTTATAGGACATTAGGAAGTGTTTTGTGCCAATTGGTATGTAAACTACATGGTCTGCAGACCTTTTTACACTAGACATCTGTTGAGCACTTTTATTATATTTTGTAACTGCAGGACAGTGGACTTAAGTTGTTCCTTTCATCAAGTGTTTGATATACAAATTTAATATAAAGATTGCTTTTTCTGATCCATCATTGACGTATGTAGCAGCCTGTGTCAGAAAACTATTTCTGTCCTCAATCACCCTGAAAGTTTCCCAGGACTTTTAATTTTTTGAGAGCGGTTGTCCAAAAAAGTAAGGGAGCTTCTCCCTACCTCAGAATCTTTTTTTCATATGATTTCTCATGCAAGAATTTTTTCTCTGTAGTGCAGTACCAGGAATAAAATCCTGATTTCACTGCCAATACTGAAGACAAATAGAAGGAGAAGGAATGACATTTCCTCATCAGCATCTGCTTTCTTGAGTGATTTATAGCAGTTATGATTTTTAGAATCTTCTACCTATGTGTGCATTCAGGCTGATATTGCTTTGTGATATATACGTGAAATGTGATAGCTTCAATGTGTAGTGAAACACAACTGTAAACTAATGACATTGATTAAATGAGTATTTTCTTGGGCTTAAGTATTACACACAGATTTCTTTTCCTTTACCCAATTTCTAACAGGACCCAAGCTGCTTTGCTTCTGATCGCCACTGATGAGTGTGTGAGCTTTTCCTTCAGGATAGTAATGGCACCAGTTGCTAGAGCTTCAGAAGCCTCCACACACAGACAATTGGAGAGTGTATCTAGGATTAGCTCCTGGATTCTGTCTGACTCAGTCTTCAACTTGAATACAAGTAAGGGAATCAAACCAGCATGCAGTATGCTAACAGCCCCTACAGAAGGAGACAGAGAAGGAACATACGTGAGGTGTGAGTGCATTTAGTATTTATACTTGCACTTTGAATTTCTTAATTGGATTAAAATACATATGGTAACTCATTTCCTTACACAGATGTGGGATTGAGAGATGGAAACTACTATAACACTGCTTTGTTCATACATGCCATCTCAGCATTGCTTCCTCAGAAAGCTTCCCCAACAGTCCTGTAAAGACATCAGCCCAGGTAATAACCAAAATGGCAATTGCTCTGATGTTCCCAATTTCCCCCACTATAATATTTCTCCCAAAATTATTCTTGCTAAGAAAATACGGGGGGAGGGGGGGGAAGTCACCTTATATCCAGCCTTTCTAACTGTTCTCAACATGAACAGATGCTAATAGAGGCTGAGATGTGAGCCTTTAGAGCTAATACTTTGATTCTCCACTATGGTTTCTGTGGGTGAAGTCAAGGTTTTGGAAATTGTCAGCTTCCTCACACATTTCTTTGTAGGAATTCTGCCATGGGGAAAACTTAAATTTTGAGCTTTCCAGCAGTCAGTAGTGTTTCACTATCTCCTAAAGGAAATAGCATCAAAGGTAGAAAGATCGTCATTTGCCCTGCAAGTGATGTCTTTGCTATGAGCAAGTGTCTGATTTGTACCATTTTTTACACAATACTAAGTCAGCACTGAAACAGCAATGCCATGAGAAAGCAGAAAGCAGAATGTACTGTCCATGAGTAAGTATGTGAAAACAAAATTCTCCAGCTGTCTTGTTGCTAAGACTGATTCTTTGGTTGCTAAGAGAAATGTGGCTCTTCTCAAAGTGATTCATATATGGTTAGATAAGGAAGTTTTGTGGGTAAGTCATCAAGGTATTTTCAAATGAAGCTCCACAGTCAGGGATAAAATGACAAGTGGGAAAGAGATTTTAATGGCCCTTGGTAGTGCACGGGAGAAATCCCTCAACTTGACAATCGTGAAAAACATGATTCTAATCTAGAGGTTATTCTGTTGTACATATTTCTGAGGTTTTGCTGACATCGAATAACTTCTTATGTTACTAACTTATTAGGATCCACTTTACTAATGCAAATGCAAAGAAACGCCTAGGGGTGATATTATTACAGCTTTTACTACCTGTGCTACATTTGGAGGTCAGTTGCTGTGAAAATTCAAATAAATAATAAGGAAAAACATACTCAGACAATTCACTCTTCAAGGCTAACAACATTTTAAAACCAAGGATTTTTCCTTGTGCCAGAAAGGCAAAGCAGGAAAGGAAAGTGAAAAAATGTTATCTTTGAAGCTGTGGCTCTGTGTATCACTAGGTGTGGGCGTTGGCACTTTCATACTAAAAAAGAAAACCTCCACCCTATATTTATGTCCCCTGGAGGAATGAAAAGAAGAAAAGTCTCAAGGATCAGATCCAGCCCATTCATACTGTCCCCATAGGATGTGATAAAGGAACCCTGCACTATTGGTTTAGCAAAGGACTATCCTGGAGAGGTCCTGGAGAAGGAGGCAAAGCTTGCACAGCTGACTCCATCACCCAGCATTATCTCCCTTGACAAGGATTACAGGTGTTTGGATTGTAGGTTATAGGTATAGAAGTGTTATGGGTGGGTTAGACAACAGTAAGGATATGGCTGGCAATACTCCATGCCTTACGGAGTCCCAGGCAGTAGGGAACCCGGTAGCAAACTGTTTCCATGGAAGTAGCTTAAAGCAGTCTCAGATGACTATAAATCGTATCCAGAATTGGTTTAGCCACACTTCCCAATGGTCTTTTGAAATAGCCTACGAAAGACAAGATTTTTCAAAGTCAACTTTTAAAACTCCTCCCAAAGTTTTTCATGAAAAGAAACTATATGGCCTGTATGCATGAAATTGGGATACCCAGACTGCTCACACAGTCACCATGTACGCTTCTGGGTTGCTGTGGAAATCAGTATAAAATCAAAATTTGGGAGGTACAGTTTCAGAGGAAGATTAATGAATTGGAGGTGATAGACATATAAGCTGACATTCCCTGTAGTAAGCACCTATTTATTCTACAGTTGCTTTACCAGATGATCTGTGATACTTTTGAACCAAAACCACATCTGGACTACTTGACCTTAAAAGTAATTTCATTCTTTCTAGATAAGATAACACACTGAATGTAAATGTAAATAAGAGTAGCAAAGAACTGAAGTTTAAACTCCACACTCCTCCAGAGCCTTTTTGCAGCTTTAACTCACATTGATGCCAATCTTCCTTGGGATAGTGTCACACCATAAGCATTTCATCATATCATTTCATAAGCAAACACTTGTTCTTGCACGGAGTAGTCAGCATTCTGGCTTGAGCCCAGAGAAGCCATTGCTTCCTTTAAGCTAACTTTCCATCTTTCTGTAACAACTATTGCTATAGCATTCTATCTACCTTTCTCATGCTGGTAGATGTACGCGTTTCTTTCCCAGTCAGGTTTCCATTACTATTTTTTTCACTTGCTTTCAAATACTTAATAGCCATTTTTTAACCCATCATCTTAATTTCCATTTTTAGTTTCCTGCAATTCCCTCTTTTTCAGGACTTCCTTGCTAATTTATTTCAGTTCTCTTGATCATCTTATCATCATATTGCCAGTAAGTGCTATCAGCATTCAGGTTTTGATTCTTTGTGTCTGTGTCTTTCACTTATCTTCTAGTATATTCAACCAATACTTTCAACTACACAGGACTGGTTTCATTGGCCCTTGCATTTACTCCTTCTAATTAATGTTTATTGACTTTCTTCGACTCAGACATCCCTCATTTGTTGCATTTGCAGTTCATGACTTCTTTTGGTGCTAGCCTTTACTATTGCACTGCAGTCCTGAGTGCAAAATATACAACAAAGCCACTTTATGTCTTTCTGTTTCAATAAGGTGGCAAGATAATATACAGAGTGTTGTCTAGGACAGCTTTTATTTTGTGGAGCCATTAAGTAGTATTTATTCTGTGGTCAGAAATACCCATGTAGCTAGTGGGTGCTTATTTTGTATGAACACTCAGGCTGTTTTCATTTTTTTATAACATGTTTTATTTTACCAGGCCGGGTCTCTGTACCAAGAGCTTTCTTATCTACTGTTCTTGTCAAGCTGTCCTATCTGAAATGCTATCATGTTACTAAAGGGAGCTTCCCAGACATAAATATAGAAACAAAGATGAATTGTTTGACCTTGTCAAAAGTCTCAATGTGGTGAAGAGAAAGAGGGTGGAGAGGAAAGGTCATCAACAACAACAAAGAGACTACCTAACATTGAGACTCAAATTTCCAGGTGGAAATTCGTCATGGTTTTCCCAAGGGACCCAAAGGGTGAAAGGTCTAGGGAGGTAAAAGGGAAAAGGGAGGAGAAAAAATCAGTGGAAAGTTGTTTGAGAGTTACTTGTCTCAGATCCTTACATCTTACTGAGCGAGCAATAGGAGTGGAAGGTAAGCTGGTGTTTCTTGTAGTCCTATACTGAAAAATGCAGTGGCATCCTCAGGATCTTGACTTTTCATTAAAATACTTCCCTTTCAAAGGTGATTTATCTATTGCAGAGAGTGTTCTAGATACCCTGGGCATAGTGAAGTAGTAAGGAAAATTGTTTTCAAAATGCAAATAGTTGCATTTACAGCTGCATAGTTAACATCATTTTTGATCTGTTTTTCTAAGAACTTGTATTCTTCCCTCGGGCTGCTTTTTATCTGAGCGCTCATCTCTTCCTTCTCATAACCCTCTGGCCACTCTCATCCTCCCTTTCATGACTCTTTTTTTCTAATAGGCCCAAAGAGGAGTTGCCATTTATTCTGTTCTCTCAGTATGGCTGCAGGGCACGTAAACAAATTAAATTTTGTAGAAGACAAAGGAGTCATTTATAGTACATAACAGTGGTGTTTTGTTTTGTTTTTCAATTACATAAATCAATTAAATCACATTACAAATCCTTTTCCTTACAAATGTCGGTTTTCAACTCAAAGCTATTTAAATGTTTGTTTTAGTACAAAGCATGTGCTTCATGCATGGCCACAAAGTGACGTACAGTGTAGTATAACATAGTAAAATAATATGTACACACAGATTCTATATAACATTAATGTTTTGTTAACACCTCAGATGTCTCTCTGCAATGTTCACACAACTATTTGAAACGCTTAGTAACAGCATTTCTTCCTAAGCATAACTTAGGAAGGGGCACACAAGGAAAAGAAATGCAGAGCCAGCCACAATCAGAAGGAAAAATGCTACCTAGCATCATGGTGTGCTATCAACACATCCAGCACACAGTGGCTGTGAAATCCCAGGACAGGAGCTCACTAACTGTGAGTAGCCAAGTGATCCTGACAAAATTTCTAGACCTAGCAGCTCCCTTGCTAGCACTGCAATAGTCTAGCACCATTTTAGAGGTAACAAAGTGTTTATTAAACTAATGAGTGCTAGCACGTATTATATAAATTTAAAAATGCAGTGCTTGTATGTTTCCTTTCTGAGTGACAAGATGACCACAAAAGATCCTTCCCCAGCACACCTTCCTTGATAACTCCTTGCTCACTACTGTTTAAATTGAAAAAAAAATTTATTCTTTATACTCGCTGAGAAGATTTCTGAGTCACCAGTCACATAAGCACAGTTTGAGAACCCTGTAGTAGCCAATTTAATGTTAAGATTCAGTATTTTGAGTCCCAGTGCTTCCAGCATTAAGGCGGTGTCAGGCAGTAGATTAAAAATAATACTACTATAAAACTGGGCTGAAATTTCTTTCTGGTAAGTTTGGAGCAGGAGGTACCACATTAAAAGAAATAGAACTCATCTGCCTATACCCAGTCAGCTTTATCAAGTCTTCTAACTGAAGAAGAAAATTCTGTTGACATCTTTTGAAAGTCAGAATATTTTCCTCTTCTTTGTAACAATAATTCTTTGTCTTTCAGTGATAATTTAACAGGAATAAACAGTAGTGTCCCAAAGGATGCCTATGCCCAGAGACAAAGAGTATCTCTTATCTTAAAG